TGGTATACACCTCATGGAAAACCTGATCCTAAAATTCATATGGAAATAAAAGATATCTAGAATAGCCAAAACAATAATGACAAGAAAAGGACAAATTTGGAGTACTCACACTCCCGATTCCAAAACTTACCACAAACTTCAAGTAATCAAGATTGTGTGTTATAGGCTTAAGGATAGACATATAGGTCAATGGAACAGAATGGAGAGTCCAGAAATAAACTCATACATCCCTGGTTAGTTTAGTTTTGACATCAATAGGGGAAAGAATAGTCTTTTCTGCAAAGGATATCCACATGCAGAAGAATGGATTTAGACCTTTATTCACACCATATGCAAAAATTAACTCAAAATGCATCAAAGACCTAAATGTAAGAGCTAAAGCTATAAAACTCTTAGAAGAAAGCATAGGAGTAAATCTTTATGAACTCAGGTTAGGCAGTGGTTTCTTAGATATAGCACCTAATGCACAAAAAGCCAAAGAAAAATAAATAAATTGGACTACAGAAAAATTAAAGCCTTTTGTGCTTCAAAGAAACTATGAAGACAATGAAAAACAACTGACAGAATGGGAGAAATCTGGAAATTGTGTCTAATAAGGGTATTGTATCAAGAACATATGGAAAACTTTTACAACTCAACAATAAAATAAATAACCTGGTAAAAAATGAGGAAAATACTTGAATAGTAATTTCTCCCAAGAAGATATATATATGGCCAATAAACACATGAAAAGATACTCAACATCATTGGGAAAATGGAAATAAAAACTACAACAAGATTCCACTTCACACATGCTAGTATAGTTACGAGAAAAAAAAAGAAAGACAGTAACAAATGTTGGTGAGGAAGTGGAGAAAATGTGTATATTAGCTTGCTCTCATATTGCTATAAAGAACAACCTGAGACAAGGTAATTTATAAAGAAAAGAGGTTTAGTTGGCTCATGGTTTCACAGACTGTACAGGAAGTGTAGCTGGAGAGGCCTCAGGAAACTTACAATCATGGCAGAAAGTGAAGGGGAAACAGACATGTCCTACATGGCTGCAGCAGGAGGAAGAGGGTGAAGGAGGAGGTGCTAGATACTTTTAAACAACCAGATCTCATGAGATCTCACTCACTATCATGAGAACATCAAAGAGGAAATCCGCCCCAATGATCCAATCACCTCCCACCAGGCCCCTCCTCCAACACTGGAGATTACAATTTGACTTGCAATTTGGGTGGGGACACAGAGCTAAATCATATCTTTCTGCCCCCAGCCCCTCCCAAATCTCATGTTTTTCTCACATTTCAGAACACAATCATGACTTCTCAACAGTCCCCCAGAGTCTTAACTCATTCCAGCATTAACTCAAAAGGCCAAGTCCAGAGTCTCATCTGAGACAAGGCAAGTCCCTTCTGCCTATGAGCCTGTAAAATCAAAACAAGTCAGTTACTTCCAAGATACAATGGGGGTACAGACATTGGGAAAATGCTCCCATTCCAAAAGGGAGAAAAATAGTCTAAAACAAAGGGGCTACCAGGCCCATGCAAGTTGAAATCCAGTAGGGCAGCTGTTAAATCTCAAAGCTCCAAAATCATCTCCTTTGACTTCATGTCTCACATCCAGGCCACACTGATGCAAGGGGTGGACTCCCAAGGCCTCAGGCACCTCCACCCCTGTGCTACTGTGGGGTACAGTCCCCAGGGCTGCTTTCATGACTGGTGTTGAGTGTCTGTGGCTTTTCCAGACACATGATGCAGGTTGTCAGTGGATCTACCATTCTGGGGTCTGGAGGATTGTGGCCTTCTCCTCACAGCTCCATTAGGCAGTGCCCCAGTGGGGACTCTGTGTGGGAACTCCAACCCCACATTTCCCCTCCACACTTCCCTAGAAGAGGTTATCCATGAGGGCTCTACCCCCACAGCAGACTTCTGCCTGGACATCTAGGTGTTTCCATATATCTTCTGAAATCCAGGTGAAGGCTCCCAAGCCTCAACTCGTGCCCTCTGCACACCTGCAGGCTTAATACCACATGGAAGCCCTTGATACCACAAGGTTTATGTCTTACACCCTCTGGAGCAGTGGCCTGAGATGTATCTGGAGCCCTTTAAGCCAAGGCTGGAGCTGAAGTGTCTGGGACACAGGGAGAAATGTCCTGAGGTTGCACAGGCAAGCAGGACCCCAGGTGTGACTTCTGAAACTACTCTTCCCTCCCAGGCCTCTGGGCCTGTATGGGAGGGAGGCTGCTGTGAAAGTCTGAAATGCCTTCTAGTTCTTTTCCCCATTACCTTGGCTGTTAACATTTGGCTCCTCTTTACTTATGCAGATTTCTGAAGCTGGATTGAATTCATCCCCAGAAAATGAATTTTTCTTTTCCATCACATGGTCAGGCTGCAAATTTTGTAAACTTTATGCTTGGCTTCCCTTTAAAATACAAGTAGATCATGTCTTTGCTCATGCATACGACCACATTAAAAGCAGCCAGGTCACTTTTTGAATGGTTTGTTGCTTAAAAATTTCTTCTGCCATATACCCTAACTCATCACTCTCAAGTTCAAAGTTCCAAAGATCCCTAGAGCACAGGAACAATGCCACCAGTCTCTTTGCTAAAGCATAGCAAAGTTGACCTTTGCTCCAGTTCCCAGTAAGTTACTCATCTCCATCTGATACGACTTCAGCCTGGACTTCATTGTCCATTTCACTGTCAGCATTTTGGTCACAACAATTTAACAAGTCTCTAGGAAGTTCCAAACTTTCCTTCATCTTCCTTTCTTCTTCTGACCCCTCCAAACTGTTTCAACCTCTGCCTGTTACCCAATTCCAAAATTGCTTTTGCATCTTCAGGTATCTGTATAGCAATGACTCACTTCTCTGTTGCCAATTTTCTATATTAATCCATTCTTACATTGCTAAAAAGAAGTTCTTGAAATGGGATAATTTATAGAGGTTTAATAGGCTCACGGTTCCACAGGTTGTACAGGTAGCATGGCTGGGGAGGCCTCGGGAAACTTAGAATCACGGCAGAAGGTGAAGGGGAAGCAGACATGTCCCGCATGCTTAGAGGAAGGGGAAGAGAGCAAAGCAGGGAGGTGCTACACACTTTTAAACAACAAGATTCCGTGAGAACTCACTATCATGAGAACAGCACAGGGGAAATCCCCCCGCCATGATTCAATCACCTCCCACCAGACCCCTCCTCCAACACTGGAGCACAATTCAACATGAGATTTGGGTGGGAACACAGAGCCAAACTATATCATTGGAACGCTGATTTTTTCTGGTAGGAATGTGAAATGTAGCCATTGCTTTCTATAACAATTTGGCAATTCTTTAAAAAAGTAAACTTAAGGTTATCAAATGACCCAGAAATTTTACTCTAAGGTATATATCCAAGAGAAATAAAAACCTATGTCTACACAAAAAGTTGTACTCAAATGTTCAGAGTAGCATTATTCAGAACAGCCAAAAAAAGTAGGAACAACCCAAATTTTCATCAACTGATGAATGGATGAATAACATGTAGAATACTCATGCAATGGAATACTATTTGGCCATAAAAAGGCATGAAGTTCTAATACATGCTGCAACATAGACGGGCCTTGAAAACATTAGGCTAGGTGAAAGGAGCCAAATGACCACATTTTATATGTGGCCATTTATATAAAATGTTCAGAATAAGAAAATGTATAATGACAGAAAATATATTAGCATTTGTGTCGGGCTAGAGAGGGCCTAACGGGGGAATGGAAGTTACTGCTGATGGACACTGGGTTTCTTTCAGGGGAGATAAAAATGTTCTAAAATTAGACTGTGATGATGGTTTAGTAGAAACACCTTGTGTTTCTATTAAAACAATTAAATGGGTGAATTGTATGGTACGTGAATTATATTTTAGTAAAGCTGTTTTAACAAAAGTAAGAGATCGTGAGAAAGTTGGATATAGGACACCGTATCACGGGTCCAAGGAATGTTTATTAGATCTCTAGTAGTTAGAGAGTACAAATCCCTTATCCACGCTAAGTGAACACATATATCTCTTTGCCCCTGGAGTTTCTGAGTATTGTGTTCTTTGTCACAATTACTGGAATAGAACCAGTGCTGCTGTCAATTGGGAAGTGATGAATGTTACGGCATGAAACCAACACAGATGGTGTTGGGCAATGTAGCTCCATGGGGATCTGAGAGTTCTCTTAATATGGGCATCTTTTTCTTGAATTTCTGCTGACATCTGACCTCTAAATAGCAGAGGTGTTGGGAAAGGCTCAGGAAATGGTCCTGACTCAGTTGATAGTTTCTATAGACTCCTTGACTCCTTGCAAATAGGGCTGTGTTGAAGTTAGAAGTCAAAACTAATGAAAGTAGTCTTAACAACAGTACTGAAAAGACCTCCTTTCCTAGAAAATAATAGCATTTTAAGAAGCCTAGGGACAATTCTAGGCCAATAAAAATAACAACAACAATAATTACCACCACCACTGCTATTTACTAAGTCCATGTATTAGACATTGTGTTACATGCTTTAATATGATTAAGTATCTAGTAGGTATTGAGTTCTTATCATGTGCCCAGCTCTGTGCTAAATGATCTTTGTTGATTCTTAAGACAACCTTCTGAAATAAACAATTATTATGTTCATTTTATTTATTAGGAAACTGAGGCTAAAGCGTTTAGTATTCTGCCAAGGCCAGCTAATAGTTACAGAGCATGGGTCCAAACTCAGAGCTGTCGGAAGCTTAAGCCCATGTGGCGAACCATGAATGTGATTTTACCTAATTTAAGCCTTGCAGCAACTCTGCCAAATAAGTAGGATTATCCTTATTGGAAAGGATGATTGCTTATTCCTATTACTCCGCCTGTCTCCAGGCAGAGAAGCTTTCATTAGTACAATACACCCAGTAACTTTCTATTCCCTGCAGGAAGAGTTTGGAAGAAAGATCTTTATAAGCACTGTTGATCCGTTTATCTCCTATTTCTCTCCCATTTCTGTCTTTGTCTCTGTCAAATCTGCCCACCAGCAGCTACTGTGCCTTTACTCCTGCCTCTCCATGCCTCAAGAAGGAATGAAGAGGTCTCTGCTGTCCATTTGAGCCAGTGACTGGGTGAATATGCCTGCTCAATTCTAGCATGCAGTATTAGGAAGCCCACTCTTGCTGTGCACCTAAGCCCAGGTTTTCCAGTATCAGCTCTTTTATTAATAAAGTTGGCGTTGTAGTTTCCAGCTACCTGACCTCTTTGGCTATCTCATGATTGGTTTTGAGCTTGAATGGGAAATATGGATGCCATTTATAGGGCCTAGTATAGTCCCAAAATCCATTTTATGTATGAAGTAGCCTTGGCTTCAGAGGGTTTATGTGACTTGTTTATTTTTCATAGAAGAGTACTGCTGAGCCTTATATAAGAGATACAGTTATTATTGAGGATCTCATAGTGGTTTGAACTCAAACAAGTATAACCCTTTCTATCCTCAATGCCTGAGTGGTCTATTACTGCTCTTCTACCATTCTCTAGTGCTCCTTTAAAGGTGGCTAGGGCTGATCCAGTATCACTTCCTTGAGCAAGGGAACTCATCTCTTGCTTCTGGAGATTCATTTACCATCCATTGTTAGTTCATGTACCTATGATGTTCAGTACACATGTAAGATACTATCATCTTCCTCAATAAAACCACACTGTCATCCTCTAAAGTTATCAGTGGGTGGGAAATTGACACTGAAAGCAGCTGATGTTAGAGCCCTATCTCCTGTCCTCTGAGATCTTCCTTTCCCTTAGGAATCTCACATTCATCACAGCTGTCACCACCACAATGCCCCCAGGGAACTCTGATTCTCTTTTCCCACATGCATGGATTCTCCTTTTAACTTCCCATAGCTCAGCTAAGACTTTCTTGACAGCTCAGGGACTCCAAAAGGGAATTGTTGTAGAATAATTGGCCCCTAGATATAACTATTCCCAAGAGCTCTCTTACAGGCTGTCTCTACCAGGCCGGAATTTGGGGCAGGTAAGATTTTCAGCATCCCTAAAATCACACTAAGAAGATAAACATGGAAACAGCTTGGAGCTGGCCTACCCATAGTGAGGTGGTACTGACTGGAAGACAGCTTAAATGATTTGGAGAAAAATGGAATACATTGATCTCAGAAAACTCTACCACCTGTAGAAAGAGAGCTAAAATGGAGACAACCACAGGCAGTCTAAGATACGCTGAACTACTACAGACAATAATTCAGCAAGAAGGAGTGCTGGCAGGTATGGTGTCAGAGCAAGCTGATGGAGGGTCCTTCATTTCCAAGCTGTGAGTACAGCAGGCTATCAGGCTTAGTTCGTAAGAACATCTCCAGAAAGACAATCTCTATAAAAACTGCTTCAATAGAAAGAATGCAAGATGTAACTGCTTCATAATAGGACTGATATTTTTAAAAACAAATGAACGTAATAGAAGACTAGATGGATGTGCTTCTCAAAGTCATCTCTGTGGGAGGCTTCATCCTCACTCTAGATTTGTTGCCTGTAGTAGCTATTATTGATTACCCACTCATAGCCTATCCATACTTATTCATCTTTCCTTTATATACCAGTGGCATCCTATTGGAACCACCTGTGACTTTCTTAGGGCTTTCTCTTGGCCAAGCATTGGAAGGCCAGCAGTATTGAAAAGTTAATAGTGTTGGAAGCACTGGCCCTCAACTGATGACAAAGAAAAAATATAAGATAAATTCCCCAGCTTCTTTGCCCCTTGAATGGGTCAAGTCTGTGGTGTGTTCTACCCGTTTTCCAGAGGTCCCATGATTTTAAACCCTAGCTGTTCAAGACAATTTCCTGATAATTGATGTACTCTCTGTTGGCTAATTTTTAGATAGTATGGAATATGCTCAAAATATGATACCCAAAGAAAAAATCAAATGCCGAAATTGTATACACTGAATGAGTTCAATTATGTATAAGTGTGGACGTACACACATCAAAAGAAATATGGAACGAAAAATATTAAGTGTTTATAGTGGTTATTTCTGGGTGTTGAAATTTTACGTGATTTTCCTTTTCTTCTTCATAATTGTCTCTATTTTTCAGTTTTTTCAATATACCCTGTATTTCTTTTAAAATCAGAACAAACCATCATAAGTTATTTTAAAATGCTTATAAAGCTGATGAATATTTTGTCTTTGTTTCGTCTTACCATAGTCTGAGGCAGTAGTTCTCAAATGCGGTCTCTAGACCAGCAACATCAACATTACCTGGGAACTTGTTAGAAATGCGAATTCTCAGATGGTGCCTAGGACCTTCTGAATGAGAAACTCTCGGGGTTGGGGGTGAAGGGGACAGCAATTGCATTTTAAGAAGCTCTCCAGGTGATTTTCATGCACACTAAAGTTTGTGAACCACTGGTCTAAAGATAACTTTTATTACACATACCTGTAAGTCCCCACTAAAGCTCCCTAGGTGGGGTCCCAAAAATTTCAGTCATGTAAAATGTAGGATTGCATTTGTGTGGGGTTGGCAAACTGATTGGGATGAGCCTGCTGAGTAAGATGAAAGCTCATCACAGTAGTCTTATGTCTGAATTCATTGTAGGGCAAATTATGTTGGGGTTTCATCATAAATATATTGGTCTGCAGAGTTTATATATTCTACATTGAAATCTATGGTGCATTTAATAGGCAGAAGGCTAGACTAATTTAAATCTAATCTGATGATCATGGTGACTGCTTGACACCTGTGACGTTTCACAGGCTTGGAGAAAGTTTTGTTTTCTTTATACCTTTATTTTCTACTTGCCTGGTGGCTTCATTTCCTTAGTTTGATTTTTCTTCAGTAATAGTTCACTCTTTCCCCCAATTATGCAAAGATAGTGAATTTCAATATTTTGTGGAAAAAACTACTATCCCCTGGATTTGAGAGGCCCCTCCTCAGTTTCCCCCATGGAGCTTTTGTTTTCCAGTGTGTTACATTAGTTGTTTGTGAATCCATCTTCTCCCCCACCAAATGGAGGCCCTAGGTGCCATGTGAGCAGGGACAGTGACTTATACCTCCTGGCATGCTTGGTTCTTAGCACAGGGCCTGGCAGAGACAGCAAGAGCTCAAAACATATTGGTGAATGAGTGAATTTTGATGCTGTAATTCAAGACACACATTCATTTATTCAGCATTAAAATGTTTTACATAGCAAATATTAATACAAGAAATGCATGCCAAGAACTTTACCTACATTAATTTTAATATGTGAAGAATAGGATTATGTGTACTTAAAATACAATGTGCTGTGCTATTTATCATTTTGTTCATCTTCACCTCATCAATTTTTCGGAAACTTCCAGCAGATGGCACCAATAAATACTGTCATGGGACTGCATTAGAAATTGGTTAATATTTTTCCACATGAGCTTAAAAATTAAAATGAATAAAAGTTTCATAGTTCAATTCATAATAATAACTGGTATTTATTTGACATCTTCCCATTAACAAAGTGCTTTTAAATCTTTGTCTTGATTCTGTTTCAAATTCTGTCAACATATTAAGAATGTTTGATTATGTACTTTAGACTTTTGTTGATATGTCATTCAGTCATAGTTGCTGAACAATTTATAATCATTAATGACAGTGCTATTATTTCATATTTGTAACACACCAATCTTTTAAAGACCAATTTTTTCTATGGAAAATGTGAGCAAGATCCTACACGTGAGAACTGAACAGTAACTCAGACCACTAATAATGTAGTGAACTGCTTCTCTAGCTCATTAAACAGGAATGATTCCTCTCATTTGTGTGGCGTACTGTGGATGCAAAGCACTTACCCAGACACAACATCCTTTGATCCTTGCAGTAGCCCTATGATGTGGGCCAAACAAGTGTTATTTTGTGGACAAAGAGATAGTGGTTGTTCTTCTGTCTTTCTTTTCCATTCCTCATCCCTCCCTGCTGGGCCCCATTACTGCCCTTCCCAACTTGGTTAACTCAGGCTTAATATCTCATAAATCTTAGCAAAAATCCAGTGACACATGAATGGCAATTAATATTAGTTTCACTTAGCAAATTACAAGGAAATGCTTGGAAAGGTTAAAACTCATTTCTAAGGACACAGAGTTATCTGATAATTGGAGATAGGAATGTTTCTTTCTGCTCCCCTCCGGGCTAAACAGAGTCATGAGCCTGAAAAAACTGGTGTTCCATTCTTTGCCCATTCTCTGGGGACTAAAAATCCACTCACATGAGGGAGTTAGAGACTTCATACGGCAATTACCCTTAAGGTAATTGATACATGTTTTAAAAGAGAACTCTGGGACAGCAACATCTAATATAAAGTAATGAATTAGTAATGGAGCAACCTCAGAAGTCTTGAATAATATATGGTATATTTCTAGATAAGTCACAAGTGAAAATAGCTGAAGGTGTGTTAAGACACAACCAACTCCCAACTTCATATAATTTTTGAGATTTAATTCACATACCATAAAATTTTACCCTTTTAAAGCTTACAGTTTAGTTGCGTTTAGTATATTCAGACTGTTGTGTAAACATCACCACTATCAAATTCCAGAACATTTTTATCACCCTCAAAAGAAATCTTATGGCTGGGTGTGATGGCTCACGCCTGTAATCCCAGCACTTTGGGAGGCTGAGGCAGGTAGATCACGAGGTCAGGAGATGGAGACCATCCTGGCCAACATGATGAAACCCCATCTCCACTAAAAATACAAAAATTAGCTGGGCATGGTGGCACGTGCCTGTAATCCCAGTTACTCAGGAGGCTGAGGCAGAAGAATCGCTTGAACCAGGGAGTCAGAGGATGCAGTGAGCTGAGATCATGCCACTGAACACTCCAGCCCGGAGACAGTGAGAGTCCATCTCAAAAAAAAAAAAAAATCTTATTATTAGTCACTTCCCTTTTTCTCCTCCCCACAACTCCCAGAAATCACTAATCTATTCTCTCTATGTTCTAAGCAATCTGTATAAATGGAATCACACAATAAGTGACTTTTTGTGTGAAAAAGTGTAGCGTAGTGTTTTCAAGGTTCATCCCTGTCTGTTAGGTCTAGTTGGTTTATAATGTTGTTCAAGTGTTCAGTTTTCTTGTTGATTTTTTGTCTGTTCTGTTATTAAAAGTGGGATATTGAAGTCTCTAACTATTATTGTTGAATTATTTTCATTTCCTTTCCAATCTGTCAGTTTTGCTTCATGTTGTTAGGTGCATATGTATGTATACTGTTACATCTTTTTGCTGGATTGAGTCTTTTACCATCATATTTTACAGTCTGTTTTGCCTAATATTAGTATAGCCACTTCATCTCTCTTTTGGTTACTGTTTACCTGGTATATTTTCCCCATATTTTAACTTTCAGCCTATTTGTGTCTTTTAATCTAAAGGAGTCTCTTGTATCTAGCATAAAGTTGGATCATGTTTTGTTTTTGTTTTTGATTTTTTTTACAAAATGTAGTTCTGTCTTTTAATTAAAATGTTCAATTTATTTATATTCAGTGTAATTACTGTTAAGGTAAGATTTATGTCAGTCATTTTTCTATTTGTTTTCTATTCATCTTTTATGTTTTATTCCTTCATTCATCCATTATTGCCTTTTTTGTGATAAATATTTTCTGGTATATAATCTTAATTCCCATGTTATTTCTTTTACTACACATATTTTTAGTTATATTCATAGTAGTTTTCCTGGGAATTATAATTAATATTTTTTAAGTCAATTAAATTTTAAAAATTTTAAAAATAGTGTCTTGCTATGTTGCTCAGGCTGGTTTCAAACTCCTGTCCTCAAGCAATCCTCTCACCTCAGCCTCCTGAGTAGCTGGTTTACACATTTTATCCTATATAGTTCTGTCCCACCACTTCTTTGTCCTATTGTTGTCATACAGATTACATCTCTGCCCAACAACACAGATTTACATTAGTACTTTATATAGTTGCATTTTAAATGAGATAGGAAGAAAAAAAGAGTTACAAACAAAAGATTTATACCACCTTTGTATCAGCCAATGTAGTTACTTTTGCCACCACTCTTTTATTTTTTTTTCCAGAGACAGGGTACTGCCCTGTTGCCCAGGCTGGAGTGCAGTTGCCATCATAGTTCACCACAGCCTCAAACTCCTGGGATCAAGGAATCCTCCTGCCTCAGCCTCCCAAGTAGTATGTAGGACTGTAGGCGCATGCCACCACACCTGGCTAATTTTTAAATTTTTTTGTAGAGACAGTGTCTTGCTATGTTGCCCAGGCCGGACTTGAACTTCTGGCCTCAAGTGATCTTCCTGCCTTGGTCTCCCAAACTGTTAGGATTATAGGTGTGAGCCACTTAGCCCAGCCCTACCAGTGCTCTTTATCTCTTCATTTGTATTTGACTTACTATCTGGTTTTTATTCATTTCAGCCTGAAACACACCCTTTAGTGTTTCTTGTAGTACAAGTCTGCTAGTGACAAATTCTTTCAGTTTTTGTTTATCTTAATTTCTCCTTTATTTTCAAAGGTTAGTTCTGCTGGATATAAAATTCTTGGTTGACAGGATGCCCCCACCCCCACCCCATCCCTCTGCTTTCTGACCTCCAATTTCTGATGAGAAATTATCTGTTAATCTTATTGAAGATCACTTATATGTGATGAATCACTTCCCTCTTGTTGCTTTCAAAATTATATCTTTGTCTTTTGACAATTTAACAATAATGCATCTATGGGTGGATCTCTTTGAGTTTTATTCTACCTGGAGCTTGTAGAGACTTCTTGGATTGTAAATTAATGTTTTTTCATCAAATTTGTGAAGTTTTCCGTCATTATGTCTGCAAATATTCTTTCTACTCTTGTTTCTTTTCTCCTTTTCTGGCACTCTCATTATGAGTATGTTGACATGCTTAATGTGTCCCACAGATGTCTAAGCCTCTGTTTATTTTTCTTCATTCGTTTTTCTTCTCTCTCTAATCTTCAAACTGGATAATGTCAGTTGGCCTATCTTTAGATTTGATTATTCTTTCTACTGCTAGCTCAAATCTGCTGTTGAATCCCTCTAGATAACTTTTAAATTTCAGTTGTTCTACCTTCCAACTATAGA